TTCAGTCCGTCAGTTCTAACTGCAGGTCGATCGGCAGGCCAAACTGGGTGTGTATGGGGGGCCTTACAGTCACCTGTTCCCAGTGTCTCATAGAATCGGGGGCGGGTATTTTTGGAAATTCAGTCACCACAAACAGCTACAAGTGTTCACGCAAACATATGTGCGTGAGGAAAACACAGAAACTGAGCAATTCGGGATAGCACACAACGTGCAACCTTGTCCTTGATATAAACGCGGGGACTGCGGAACACCGGCTTGTGTTTCTGCTGACGCTCGTCAGTGGAAGTCGCAGTAAAACGCTTTACAACCTCAATACATTTACTCATATTTCTGGCGTGCAACCAAATGCTACAATTACATGCCTTAATCCGGTATCTCAAAACAGCAGGTAAAAGGTAAAAGCTATCCTTGTAACAGGCCGTGGAGGCCCATAAGGTTGTGAGACGTCGAGGCTCCTACATTTTCTAGACAATCAGCTCACAGACTGCGGTGAGGCTGCCAGCCTTACGCTCCTGCCGCCCTTTACCCCAAAGAATATTCCAAGAAGATTCCTGATACTCGTTTCTGTTAGAGGCTGAGTCGACCCCAGGGCCATAGTGCGGCTGGAAGGATCAGGTCAACTGAAAAATCCAATGACTTCGACGGGAATAGAACCCGCGACCTTCCGGCTTGTAGCATAGTGCCCCCACAGAATAGCAGGCTATTGTACTATTCCCTTACAGGAGAGCCGCCATATTGAAGGTCATTGAGACGTACGTGAATTCACGACGAAATGCTATATTGCTCCCTGTGCCACTGTTAACATAACCTGAACACTAGGGAGGGATGCCTCAATTGGTTCCCAGCTGAAAATGTTGCAAACCTCACAGAATCTAATAGGATCCGGCGTCAGAGCAACATCTTCAAACAGTTTCGGCACCTTCCGCCACGCTGCGCCACCTGACAGAAGGAAGAACTGCTGTGTTCCCTATTGCCCATCCACTTGTTCTTCCCGTGGCAGATAAACATAGCGAAACGGAAAACTCTGCACATGCTTCTATGTCTGTCCGTCTCCACGTTTCATCTTCGGAATTGGTGACTGGTCGGTTTTCAGAAAATGAAACGGCTATGGGCAGGACGCCTAGAGTTCGAATCCCGCAAAGGACACCATTCTTCTCACTGTATCCAAGCCAGCTGTGGGCACCACCGAGCATCTTACTCGTTCATGTAGAGCAGGTGCCGGAGTAAGGCGACCGGAGCGTAAAGCTGGCCAGTATCTAGGTCTGGAATGTGTGGAATGCTACCTCCACTCTCCCTGCATCCCTTCGTGGCGTGGAGTTTACATATCAAGAGATAGGGCCCTCCCTGCGTGAGGTGCGGCCCACTGTTTGCATACTCTGCCACTCATTGTTGTTTTAGTGCGTCTGTCTGTCGTCTGAAACGTTTGGCGCCAGCTGACTCATTCGTATACAGGACACACAAGTAGCAAGCACACTGTGGTCCGTTGCCCGGCGCCTCACACGACAGGTTCTCCTGTTAATACGCACAGTCGATGTGTCTAGTGCTTGGAATTATCTGAGGGTACTCCACACGGAGTGAGCCATGTTTTGCAGATATACTTTTTGCGTTTTGATACATGTCACTGGCCTTGTTGTGCCGTAACAAAGCTCTACACCGCACACAGCCCGAACGTTTTTCAGGTTGCATACATTAAGGAGATGTGTGCTTTGCCTTCTGAGCCAATTCCTTGTTCAGCCGCTGTTGGGTGGGTTGGGGGGGGGTGATACCGGTGTGTGGAGCTGACTACTCACCTCCATCTAATGCAGAGGTCCCCCTTTATGTCTAAATTGTGTGGTGCTTCATAAATTAGGCACAGAGACAACTTTAATTTCCAATTTTGCTCACACTCGGGCAACAAGAACGAGCACTTCACACGCAGACAGGCCTACACGCGTTTCTGCGCCAAATGTTTGCCGGAGCGAGCAATGTGTAGGGAAGCATGAATCACGCATGCGCTTATCACAGTTTACCGCAAGCCTTACGGTTTTCGAGATAATTAAATAAGAAGGTTTGAATTCCAATGAGGCCGCTACATTTTTCAATTGAACTAATCCTTCCAGCCGCACTACGGCCCTGGGGTCAGCTCAGCCTCTAACAGAAATGAGTACCAGGGATCTTCCTTGGGGTAAAGAGCGGCCGGCGCGTAAGGCTGACAACCTCGCCGCCACCAGTGAGCCAGTTTTCTAGAAAATGTGGGAGCCTCGACGTCTCACAACCCTACGGGCCTCCACGCCCTTTACTTTTTTTAGTGAGTATTATGCCCGCACATTCTCGCAGTCTACATGCCCAACCAAACGCTCCTCCTGCTTTACGCTGGCTGTACGGGGCATCAGAAGCTTCCATTCACCGACTGAGAATCTGAACACTGCAACAGGGTGCCTGTTATGAGCTGCATATGTTTCCTAACTTGTTAATTACCTCCCATAAAATCATTGGCTTCAATGTACATTTTTGGTAGGTTATTTTATGCCACTGTCAGTGAAGGCTAAAGTAAAGTTGTCTCTGTCCTTAACTGATTAAGCATCTCACATGAAGACGTGTGGGGAGTGGAGGTATGCCAGCTTCACGCCCCGGCCACTTCAGAAACTCTGCCTGCACTATACAGCGTCCAACGGTACGACGTCTGATGAAGGTGACGCCAGGATTTCTTCGGCGAAAAGGGTGGGGGGGGGGAGAGACAGCAGAAATGTTTCTTTACAAATTTACGTTTAAGCCGTTTAAGACTATTTTCACTAATCGTCCTCTATATAGTATTCCTGACAGAATAATTTTTAATACCTTCAGTTTTTATTATTGATATTCGACATGACTCTTTCTTTCCATCACTTCTGGTTTCCCGAAACGTCCTGGTGAGGGGCCAGATGCCTTCTTCAGGGACATGTGATGACTGGTGAATTGGAAAGGATTTGGGGAGATACAGTCGTGGCCTATTCCAGCTAGTGTGCAGTTACAAAAAAAGCATAGTGCATCTGATGCCCCGGTCGAGCTTCGAACCGAGCACCTCCCGAATACAAATTTAGAGCGTTACCGCTGCGCCAGCCTGCTCGACGAATGTAGGTACAAGTCCACTGTCGCAACGATAATTACACCACGAGTATCATACTCCACACAGATATGATTTGTTTCCTTACATTTGCTTCTGGCTGCTTGCGTCTGTATCGTTCAAATGCAAGTTGTACGTCATAAAAGTTTCACTAAACTCCGTGGCTTTGGTCCGCAAGCGAACTATACCGACCGAGCGACCGCCGCTTGTCGGAGAAGTTAATGTCAGCTTTAGCTGTTAGAGGGTGTCGCGTGGTCACCGTGGTCGATCATAATATGTATATCGACGCTTTACGGAAAGTATTTCTAATACTGCTCCGATAAGGACCAAAATTACATTGGGTCGACTGGTATACGAACCATACCATATCTGACCGAAATCCAATCAGTAATTTCGTAGATAAAACAAGCTGACACACGGGCGGACAAGTCCTACATTTCATGAGATTTGTGACAACAATTCCTAATAAAGTCCACTCTGTGCTTAAAGCAATGCAGCACATGCAGCAATGTGCAGCGCACATGAATATAAACATAAACTGTATAATAACTGCATAGCCGTTATTTAAAAACTATAAAAAGACAGTTCATTTACTCCCGACAGAAGGTTCAGAAGTTGTACTTCTTTTTCAACGTAATAATTCAGGTTTGAAGAAACTGTCTCAAGTTTTGTCTGAACAGACAAGTGACTCATCTGCCTTCCTAAATGCGTCATGTGTCTTTTAAAGCATGTACTCAACTGTGAACAGCATTTGTCATATTTCGGTCCGGATTATCTGTAACCTGATTAGCGAGAGTTTACTGTACACAGCCCGAAATGAAATCCTACAAACGCTTCAGCCAGTAAGTCAACGCGCTGTTTCCTAGCTCCGTCTACACCCGCAACGTACAACCCGCTGCACGTTCATACGGGAGGGGGGGGGCACGGTGCGTTCCTCATTATGACTTCCCAAGTCACCATTGGCTAACTTCACCACGCAAATTATTCAAGATCACAATCACACGCACAGAACACGGCGGTCGAATGCACAGCAATCCTGTGGTCCTCCGCGGTCACTCCAGACAACCGTCTGCATAGTACGTCATGTTAGGCCACGACCGCTTCCTTCCACATCCTTTCCAATTCATTATTCACTAATCACCCATTCATTCGACGCTATACAGACTCTGCTAATGACATATAAAACAAAAATACAGCAAACTTGCGAGCCCTCTGGTAACAAGGAACAAATGACAAAACACTAATTTGTTGGTAAACAGTGACGTAGCAGGCAGGGATTGGTTGCAATCGCCGGATTCAACCAGCCAGATCAAATGGCAAGAAGCAACAGTCCTGTCTGTTTACAGCATCCCGCTGTTTTGCTGCAAGGTTTCATGAAACGTCTGAAAACTATATGAAAACAGTTAGCGGTCAGGGCAGGGCAGGCCCCTTTCCGCCGAAATGTTACACTGAATACACCACACGGGTGGGAAGTTTGTTCATTCACAATCCGGTTGGAAAACAAAGGACTGCAGATGAAATGAAACAAACATGTATATCAGTAACACAACTATTTTTTTTCTGAACACATGTTATAAAATGCATTATTATTACTTTTCTAAAAAACACTCTTCTCCCTAGACCGAAGTAAACCCTAAATACGCTACATCATCAGGGATTTTAACCCATGCCAGAAAACCAAAGAGCGAAAGCGTTTTATCTCCCTTGAATTACGTATGTTGATGAACTTTCATGGCCTTAGGCAGAAATCACCTTTTGGGGCCAGCAATTGAGAACTGGAAGGAATGTTGCGTTCCAGATTAAAAAGGCAACGGTTATATCGCAATGGAATTTCAACTGAACACGCCTTCCTATAGCTCCGGCCACCATTTCGCGTAAATATAAGAAAACTGCTGGCATATGTCAACAACACACTCACCCTCTTCCGATAACAGAACGGTATGGTGATAAACGCAGCTGCAACAACAGATGACAGCTTCACACAGATTTCAATCTGGAGCAATCCATTCACAGTATCTTGTGTCACCTCGAATTACTGCATATACGCTATGTACACAGTCACACAGTACACTAAACACGCAACACTCACAGACTTCCAACCTCCATTTGACCAAATTACGGGACCTGATTGTCTAATGTCGCCGTAAACACGGAACAGTTCGCGCCGAGCACCTACACACTCAGACTTCGTTCGCCTCTTTGACCGTTTAGTTTTGAAATACGCCGCGAATGGCGCTATCAGAGGCGGAAGAATCATGAAAGAGGAGAGAGAAATCTCGAGTGTGTTTAGTCAGTCACGGCACTACAACACAACATTTCTCTTCTCTCGTTTCATTTCTTTTTTATTCCAAAGCCTCCAACAAGAGATCAAGAAAACTGTACGTGCAGTGTTGCCATCTTTATAAACACGAACTAGAAAGAATGTCCTAATAAAATAAACAACACGATTTGACCGAACAAACAAAATGAATGGAATGAAATGGGGAGCGAGATGCTATGCCTGGGGGAGAATACTCTGTCAATGGCTCTGGATAGCTGAGAGAAAATGCTGTTTCCTGGATAATTTTGGAGGACGGAAATAGAACTACATAAGCGGCTCGTGGAAGGGGAATCCAAATTCCTTTTCCAATGAACGTCCTTGCCCGCCTGGCTGTGACCCTGTTTTATGCAGTTTACACTGAAATTTCTATCATGACCTGTAGGCCATTCAATGCGGCCAACAACTTTTTTCCTATCGTCCCCAAGAAGTGCCTGACTCCAGCCTGTAGTAGCAGTCCGAGGGGCAATTAGCAGCTCACATTTCCACCCATATCGGGGATCCGACATTGTTGTGATCAAAAGCATTAAGCCCGCGATTAAGAAATTCTAATCGGAATATTAATTTGAAAGTAATTCCAGAAATACGCCTAACGCGAACTAATTTACACTTTCCAGAGAAAGCCATACATTATCGTAAGTGGATAATGTTAATTACTAACACACGTAAGGCATAGCATCGTGAAACTTCCAAACCTGGGAGCCAGAACTTCGACACTTCGAGCCGGGTCACGTTTCTCGGTTGTGGCAAATGAAAACGGCACAGTTTTACGTTTCACACACAGTAACTTTCATCTCAGAGGCAAAATATTTCGATCACGTTGAACAGTTCATAAATCAACTTGCGGTAACCAGCCACAGCGTCCGTTCTCAGACAATTTCAGAGGTCACGCACTAGCTGAAGTAGGTCTGACGACTCCTCCGAACTTAACAACTCTGTATCAACTGCAAAGCATATTTAAAGTCGAGTGAGGTAAACGAAGCTATTTCATGCTGCCAGTGAATAAAACTACACAAAAGGAGATTTAGTTCATAAAATTAACAAAACGATGTTGTCACTAGCCATCACGGAACATCTCTTCAGGCTAAATACTGCGAAGAACAAAAAAAAACTCTCATTTTTGTATCGGCCTTGTTATTTCAATGGGAGGAATATTTTGAAACGCTTTATATTTGCTTCTGATCGATAAGACTCGATCCCACGGTCTACGCAACAAGAAGTGGCCAGTTCGCGAGAATTAACTGACTTTGCTCGTCTTACCACTGTTACGTCATTAAATGACGTAGCAATAAATGAATAATCGACTTCATACGTAACTCAGTAAGTTGTGTATATTGTTAAACCAACATTTCCACGGGAAATTACTGAAACCAAACTTCGTCCAGAACACTCGCCCTGAACAACCAGAAAAGTCCTGGAGAGACACTCCGTTCTATCTCCATTCATAGCGTGCCCATGCACAAAATTCTGCAGAGAAATTTGAGGAACAAGTTCGTTGAATTTGTGGTTTTCACAGCGGTGTCTATGGGAAGTACTATCTTGCGGGATGCTACACCGTGTAGTCTGGTAGAAGTTGACTGACATGTTGCCGAGCAAGTTATGGCCTCCATCTTTAGGCTCAAAACGTAAACCGAGCAAGCAACAAGAAAGAAGCAAGAAGCGCCCTGCTTCTTGCTGTTTTGTTTACCCTGTTTTGTTTGCTTTAATTTTCATAACTCTTTAAAGCCCAATGGTCACTTCTTATACCACTTGCTTTAATATATCAAAACTCTGCATTCTTCCCACAGAGTGTGTCTGTGTTTCGTATGGTTCTCACAGTAAACAGCAACTGTTTCCCTAAACAGCAGGAACCGGTTGGGCTCTGTAGCGGAGACGTAAGGTTTCCTGTGAGGTAGGGACTGAAGTCTTATATCTTATTTGGAAGAATTTCAGTCTATAAAGTAAATCTTATTCTTTGCGTTGATTCCAGTGTTCTACTGCCCTTCTGATGTCATTTGTTATACAAACGAGCCGATATGACCCATCACGCAGCATGCAGGAAAGAAAAGACAAGAAAGCAGAGGGACAGGTCGGAGCAGATACTTCTTTATGCAGAGATCCTGTTCCTTTCCTGCTTAGCGTGTCAAATGCAACGACAGATCAAGCGTTCCATACCTCCGCACCCAATTTCTCTGACGTCCATCTACACCCAGGTCTTCCAAGTGATCTCTTGTGTTGAATTTCAAGACTAAAATGTTGTATGAATCTCTAGTCTCCCTCATGCATGCTACGAGTTCCGCCGCTCATCCTTCTTGACTTGATCGCCCCACTAATATTTGCTGAACAGTACAAATTACCTAGCTCCGCCCTGCCTCCCGTCACTTCTTCTCCCTTGCGCCCAACATTCTCCTCAGCTATTGTTTTATGTTAAATTGTCCCTACGCTTAATTAAGCACCACAGAGTGAAACAATACTGAGGAATGGAGGTGTAGCTCCACGCATTCTTAGCTTCAGTACTATGTGAAGACCTGTAATCAGGGCCACGGCCAAAGATACTGATTGGAGAGGATCCTGGGTGAGGCTCGGCCGCTTTGGTCACAGCGGCGGTGATGACACAAATCCTTGCTTCTGCCGGGAACCGAAACCCTACCGTCAAGCTCATCGCTTACGAAATCCCTGGACCGAGATTCGAAACTACGGTCTCCACAATACGAAGCATAATTGCTACCCACTGCACCGTGATGTAAAAAAAAACAGAAGGATATGGGATGAGAAGGGGAACAGGGTCCGATCCCAAATAAAGTCCTGAAGATGAACCAGAATCAGAGGCTTGAAACGCTTTCGCTTGTCTGCATCATAGCAAATGCAGTGGCACGAAACAATTGAAAGTAACGAAATCCGGATGCACGGTCCAGCTACGTCACGTTACGGATTGTTGCGGCCATTTTGCAACTTGCGGCGAGGAAACAATACAGGCTTACCAACATTTCAACGTATAGCAGAGGATGCTGAGTGAGTCGTGGGGAAATTTTGGCAGGCAGAAGATCCTAGCAGGTTCCTTCCATGATCGCAGAACAGGGCACATGAATTCAAGTGTAGCAGTTGTCACAATACCGAACCTGACCGTGGCGTAAGTTCCATACGCACCACAACTTCCGAACATCACTCGTTTCGGCATTGTCCATAGACGAGGGCTTCGAGGGTGGAAATGGCCCTTCAGAACAGGGAATACGCTCCAGATCCGCAGAAGAGCCCGAGGAATAACAGAAACATATTATAAAGGAAATTATTACAATGTAGGCTCGTGAACGCTTTCTAACATGCACCCTTCTGGGAACAGTACGGCGCCGTAAACAACTCGAAATAACTTCCTCAGATGCTCAGATGCTCTAAGCATACGGTCTACTCGTGTCTAGCCACACTTCCAGCTCTGGGCTGAGTTTTCCTGACGTGTTTCACGCGAAAGTGCGGGACGATAGAAAAACGAAAGGTTCTTCAACCGAATTTAGCTTCAAGAAAAATATAAACCATCGCCAGTTGAGTTATGTGGCTTAGTACTGAAACAAAAGATAAACGGGACTGAAATTGGGGGGACCACACAAACAACAAAATACGAGAGAACCCCAACGTCTGTGTACGCATTAAGTCGCTGAAGTCACGAAAACGATTCTTTTTAAATCTATAATTTCCGCTCCTCCCATTTGCACGTGTGTGCCAATCAAAATCCACGAAACAGTTAAATCGACTGCTTATCTAACATTGTTATGTTCCTTGGGGAACTCATTCACACGTTTCCCATGCGGAAAATGTTGGAACAAGACAAACCTCACTTCGCGCAGGGCTGCACTACATAACATGCGCTTATATGAAGCACAATTATGCAAAATTTTACGAAACGTCTTTCGAGTTGTAAGTTTGCAACGTACGAGAAACGACGGATTCATTCAGTTTCCTTCGCATCATTTCGCCGAAGAAGAAAAAAGGACAGAAAGATCGGTCAGAAACAAATGAATGTACGATTTTGTAAATCAGCGTCTGCATTTGTTCCAGGGAACAGCGGATGGAGGCCACTGCGTGGCCTGAGGCAGAGCCGCATTCTGGCGACCGGGCGTTGATTGGTAACGGGACCACGAGGTGAGGAGATCCATGGTCGTTTCCTACCTGATCCACATCAGCTGGCATCATTCCTTAATTTTCCGTAGAGCTTAGTAAGAAGCATCAATCGTGCTCTCGTGGATTTTAAGTTGTAATATCTTTCGTCATCTGCCTAAAAGGACTGAAATTACAGAACTGTGTCAAAACGGCAATGTCATGGAAATAAGCGACCTCCGATCTTTGGAAATACAAGGCGAGCTGACGGAGAACTTCCGCGCTCTGCGCCACTTCAGCAAGGTCCGTTACCCGAGAATGTGACGATCTGGCAGCCAAGTTTACTTTTTGCAGTTGTTCGCTTTCATTACGTTCGGGGTTGGAAGAGAGTTCTGAATGTGGCAACTCTGCCTGAATGTGGAGCAGGGTCAACAACGTACTGCTCCCTGTTAACAGATGGCAGCAGTCGTCATGTGAGCGCCAATTTCAGGTGACCATGACATTTACCCATGTTATCTAACCTTCAAAATGGGTAATAAATACACTTAAGGAGGGTGTGCATTGTTCAAAATAGTTACAATTACTCGTCGGCGGTCTTCAATGAATTTAAAAAATAAACTGCAGCACAACACCGGTCAAAATTCTCTGATATGTCATGTTTCTTTTTAATTCATGGGCTGCATACACTCAGAAATGCAGCATGAACTTGAAGCCACGCCCAGCCATATATCATGAATTTATATAAACATGACTGCGCATGCGTGAACTATTTGATGGGAAAGATACCACTGCCATATCAATT